TGGCTTATATACCGCCATCACCGCCCTGTGATGTACCTATTCAACATCACCTACATCATCCGGAAAACCTCCCGACCTCTACGTTTTCTACCCTCTGGACAATATGATTATTGCCAAGAAAATTTAACCTTTATTGTGCCACTGCAGCAACTTTGCACTGCCTTAACACACACAATGCCAATAGAAACATTATGTAGGCCTACCGGCATGGCATGCAAAGTGTTAATACGCCTATGACTATTCGTTCTGAGTATATTGAACAATCTCTAGAAGGGTAATTGACGGAGAATATTATCTAAAATATTACCTAAAGATCATAATGGTTAGAGCAAATAGTGGCATGAACAGCCTGCCATAGTTAAGTCCGTCTTAAAGTCGATCTTAGTCTTTGTGAAAGACTCCCCAGGAATTACATAAGTCGAAATGAAATGATCACCCATATGAGATAGCTGGGACATCTTAAAGGGAGTGGGTAGTCAGTTTCCATGTGCAGAAGGCTATAATTCGCTGACACCAGACTTGGTGGAAATACCATTAATGGGAGTACAAATCTGCACACAGCAAACCCGGTGGCCAGTCAAGAATTACCCCTTAGTCTCTCGGAGCATGCTCGGAGATTTCTCGGGCGAAGGAAAAGCAAAGCATTACATAAGGTCTAATGGTCATAAAACTCAAGGCTAACCCTGGTGATTGACCACACCTGTTATTGGGTAAACACCTGAACGGTGTCGAATTCCCCATGAGAGCTGACTTCTGACTTTAAGGCAGCTACCACAAACGAGCAACTACCCAAGACAATCTCTCACCTAGGACAACTGCTCACCAAAAACGTCTTTGGCAGCCATTAACAGAGCTCAGCTACCTAGCTCCTAACCAAAGGACATAAAATAATCATCTATCTAGAACATCTAAGTCTATATTAATAACACAGAATACTGTAGAGCAATTATCCACACATCTACCCGGGCAAAATGTATCCACCCAGAAAAGCTATAGTCTCCAAAGACTACCTCAGACAATTCTTTATTTTACTAGGACAACTTTCCCCTAAAATCGAGCGGACAAATTATCTAGACGTTTACAAACATGACCTACTTTTCTCTTCAGAAATACTGGTAGTTGGTTTTAGGAACACATGCATCTTCTGACTGGATCAGCTTAGAATCTACCCGGCTCATTCTCCAAACTGCTACCCGGAAAAAATGTATCCACCCAGGACTGTATTAATTTGCAAGCTACTTTAAAAAAAGAGGGAAATTGATTGATTGATTGATCGATTGATATGGTATTTATTACATAATCCCGGAGTTTACAAAGTAAAATCACAACAAGCAAATGTGTCGTACAGATCTACAGGTATACATGCAAATGGTGTCATAGTCATACAATAATATGAAGGTGAGAAACAGAGAAAGAAGGAGAAAGAGAGAGAGAGAGAGGGGGAGACAGGAGAACAACGGTATTGAGGCAGAGGTGATACAGTCAAGATTAAGAAGAGAGTGTAAATTACATAATAAGTAAGTTGAATGATTAACTAAATAGTAAATACAAAATGAGTAATGAGTACTCTTTGAAAATTAACTCAAATTAGTTTCATTTCATATTCTATTTAATTCAAACCACTGTCCCTCTAATACCGCAAGAAATATGTGTTGATTAGAACTCCGTATAACAAGATATCCATATATGGATTTTATTTCTAACCAAAGTTTACGGTCTGGCACAGCATGAATGAAATATTGAATTGGCTTCTTCCGAGTTCCGAGTAATTTCCGAGAGGTTGAAAGCGACTGAAAACCCCTAAAAATTGAATAAAGGCGAAAAGGTTAACTACATTCGGATTACGTCAGTCTCTCGTCCTTCATAATTCACAAAAAGAGGAAACAACTTAGAGTTAGAACTTGGAATTTGAGACTTTCTCCCGAGAGAATTAGGATGTAATGATATCAGTATCATACTAAGACTTAAAAATAAAGTTGAGTTCTGGTTTTATAAGCACTAGAAAATGTAGCCCATAAAACACTTCTGCTTTCGAGAAAAATTAAATATAAAAATTTACTGGTGCTCCCGGTAAATTTTGATAAAATTCAAATAGCGCCTACGGCCGTACAATGGTAGCTGCGACCATGAAAATCTCAGAATATGTAGTTGTGATATATAATTTCCAAACGGGAATAAATTGATCGATTTTAGTCAAGAAACATTGTTTTATAGCTTAATTAATATATTGACCCTGAGAGGGAGCTATACAACATAAAGATTTCATTATTTACAATTTCATAACTTTAGAGTCGATTTCAACCGCGACAGCGACCACTGAATATTGTAGGATCGCATATGCTTCCAATATGTTCATTTGAACCAAATTCATGACCCCATACCAAAACTTTGTATTACCTTTAAGCGCAACAGTGCATAACGAGTGCAAAAAAATCTGTGCAGTATGCCCCATGTGAGGATCGAACTCACGACCTTCAGATTATGAGACTGACGCGCTGCCTACTGCGCTAACGAGGCTGCTCTTTTTAATTATCTTGAAATATAATTAAACTGCTACAATGCTTAACCGGCCTCATTGTTAGCTTTCGTGGTTAGCTATTATATATTCCACTGATAATTCAGTTATATTGTGATCACAAAATAGTCACAAAATTATTCACATTCATAAATCATTTATTTCGATCCATTGATGTTCTATCTATCAATTGAATATATATATATTTATAAATATCAATATCAAACATGTTAAGGCCTAGAACCCCGTAGGCCTAATTTAAATAAGGTAGAAACAGAGTTGAATATTATAATATTTTAAAGATATGAGATGGAAAATAAGATACACCCAAGTTCCTAGACAACAGTATGCATACTAAATCAATTTTGAGTATTCCGTAGTTTACAGTAAAAAAAAAAAAAAAAAAAAAAAAAGAAAAAGAAGAAGACCACGAAAGTTAGTTGAATTTATCTGGGTTAAGGATAAGCCATTAACCAAAACTAGTCCTGGTAGCTCAGATAGTGTATTGCTGAAAATCATAAAATTAGTCTTATTCTAATTCAGGGACAAATTCAGTAGAAATACTGTGAGCTTTAAATCTGAATGTAATTTGTATTAGTTGCATTGGCGACAGGTAAACTTCTCAGAGAATATAAGGAAATTAAGAATGTAAGAATTAGAAAGAAATGCAATTTGATTTTTAAGATTTTTAAGAGTGTAAATAATTTTTATTTAATTATTCTTTATATTGATCATATGAATTGGAAAATATATTATTCAAGTTATAATAACAGAAAACATGATTGTCAGATTATCAGGTACCCATATTCGCCTATAGATGGAAAGTGGTAAACATGGATGGATGCCTTGCCATTGGCTGGGGTTCGAACCCTCAACCCCAGACCGTTGATTGAGAGTCAAGTGAATTAACAACTGAACCACGACATCCCCCACATTATCGTTTTCAGCTCATTGGGCATGGAGAATTTGTTTTATACATCCTTTTCCAAGCAGATACCCACAATGTGTACATACATGTATGAATAAAGACAAAATCAGAAATTCCATTGGCATTGAAAAATTTCCTGCGAAATTTATTTCCATTACAAAAATAAGACAACATTCCCTTTAAATGCGGCAAGATGAAAATAATTCAGGTAAGGATGAGCGACTGCGAAAATAAAATAGAAAAGATAGAGTGATCGTTCCAATATCCGGGTCATTCTTTTATGAAGCACACGATTTCACGGCCGCGTTAAGTCGAGGGCGTATCGCCTTACAAGAAAAGGGACTCCACAATGTTTTTGTTTTTTGATCTCAACGTTTTTAGCTTTTATGGCGTGAATATTATGATTGGCATGGTGCTTTCGAACATGATGCCGATATAAATCGTGCCAGATTTTTTTCTCAGTTTTCTGTGGAAATTGTGACAATGACAAAATGTAACAATAAAGCACAAAATCAGGTGATACACATTTTAACAAATTGGTCCATAATAACTGAATTACATGGGAGTGATTAAATTGTGATATGTATTTCTTTTCCATGCCTGCATGGGTTGTCACATTATTGTCTTGGAAACCCATAAATACAAAAAGTGACAGAAAATGCTTTTAGATAAAATATTTTTAGAGAAAAACATATTTAGATAAAATAATAGATTAAAAAAGATACAAAGACAATGGTCAGATTCTTGATATATATTAACGGCAATTTAGAGAATCTGACAAATAGATTGCTACAAGCTTTAAGCCATATGTCAATAGATACAATTTAAAATTCTTGGCCGATAGATTTATGATTCAATCGAAAGGCCTCGCAGTGCGAACGACAAAATTATTAAAGTAAAACTGAATGAATAGAGGTTTGTAGTCAAACCAAAAAGTTTAACTTGTAACCCTTTCATCTAACAAAACTTTGTTTAAATATTCTCAGTAAGACGGAGAATGTAAAAAGGGAACCTGTCTATATCATTATCTTCATTATCATCAACATCATTATTATCATGACTATCACTATCACCACCCCTATAAATATCACTACCATCAACATTATCAACACCAGGACCATTGTCATCTCCGTTATCAATATCATCAGCACCATTATTTTCTTCATTATCTTCGCCACAATCAATGTGTCACTTTAAAAATCAATATCATCTTCTTTATCTTCCATTTTTATTATTTTCATTATCCTCACCTTCATCATCATCATCATTATAACCACCATTTGCATCATCATCAGTCATCCTCATAATCATTATCACCATTATCATCATCATCAGCAGCAGCAACATCATCATAAGTATCATCATCATCAACACCATCATCACAACCACCATTTGCATCATCACCATTATCATTCATCCGCATAATAATTATCACCAACATCATCAACATCGCTACCATCGCCATTACTTTGTCAACGCAAACTTACATCATTATATCATTCGCTTTAACATACGCTTGACGAATAAAATCATGTTTACTACATATAACAAAAGGTATCCCTTGTTACACAATGTGATTCTTTATTAGATCGAAGTATTCTCATATAAATACAAATAAACACAGAACGGAACGGAAGAATGTTTTGGCATGATCTCAATCTACAGAAAATCAAGTATGATGAAAGAAAATGATTATACAAAAAACACGAGAAGACACGGCTAACGAAAGACACATCACTGAAAAGAAAGTAGAAAATTTGACAAAGGAAATATATGAAAAGATTGACAATAGAGGAGAGTAGCGTAGTATCGAAAGCTTGGAATGTGGATGTTCGTTCTGTACGTAAAGCTGGTGATTAACCAACGTGTGTTTTAAGATAAAACAGAAAGAAGAAATAGATAGAGTATTCTCTGCGAGAAGATTTGAAAAGGAACGAGACATTATAGACTAAACTTGTTTAAAAGAAACAATTACAGGTAACATTTCACAAATATCTTTTAAATTATCAACAGTGCGTTTTACTCCCCGCCCGCGGGGGCTAAAGCTGTACAGTGGCACGGTAAAAATGATTGAACGTAGAAGTAGCACATCTTCATAGACATGGTACCATATGAACATGTATGGATACAAAAGACATAACACATTGTATTTGCAAGATACAAAATAAAAATAACACCATTATTGTGGCGTAATGCTGGAGTGTACAATTTGTACTGTATACAAACAACACAATACGATAAAAGAAACAATCAATTGTTGTTTGAAGTAAAAAGACTAAGGCACTAAATTGCAGTAAATTGCTATTACACTATTTACAATGTTGTGCATGGTTGTCTTCATAGAGCAACATTTGTTCCAAGCTCTTGCCAAAAAACTTCAGTTCCAAAATATTGTAGCAAAAGCACAAATTGGAATATATCTGCACGAATAGTAAGACACAAAGTAATGTGTAAAAAGTAGTACTTTAAGTTCTTTTACTCGTAAAAAGTATATATATCGCCAACAGTAAGTTACTGATTTAAAGGCACTGATACAGAATGGGATGGTCGCATAATATATAAAACACAGCGACACGGTAACTAGTACAAATTGTGTTCCAAGTATTGATATCAAATGACTTACAAAGTAGTACGAATGGTGACTTCTAATATAGAGTACTCCTACATTTAAACGTGAATGATTTTTATTCTTGCATGGTTGGTGGTATTAACCTGGTGCTGCACTTATACAAGCGTGCAAATAAGGAGAATTCCTTTTTATTTGATTGTGACAATATTATAGCTATTTTACAGCAGGAAAAAAAATTCATTTTACGTTTAAAATTGTGAAAACAAAATCCAAAATACGTTACGACATGACTTTAACAATGTGTTTACAAATAATTGTTAACAGAAAATACAAATAGTGGTTTCTTCTCAACATAATTTAAATAATATTTTACATAGGGTGAGCAGTGAAGTAAAAATGATCTAGCTCGGCTTATGCTATAACGAATTTTCCATTACAGCTATATCGATTTTTAAAGATTAAACAGTTTCTGGACTAAGACTGGTATCCCTTTTCGGTGGATATAAAATCATGCTCAAGGTGTATAGATATTACGTTGTTATATGGATGGAACGTCAAGAACATCGCAGTGTAAATATGATAACATTTTTTCTCATCGAGGAATGTTCAAAAACAATTTGGAAAAATGAAATGTACAGTAGCATTTATGAAGTACAAAATGGAAGACCGTCGTTAAAATGCTTAAGATAATAAACATTTATTCAAATATATTGATTGAACTATTTGAATTGGAATGAATTGGAAGAAAAGTTTATATAGAGTAAACAAATGGAAGACTGTTTCGAAATCTTTGACGTACGTTTAAAATTACTTCTTTTCTTGATACGATAACAAAATAAATTTAATATGAGAAGACAGAGTTCCACAAAAGCTGCAATTTCCATTCCTTTTCCGTTTAAAACTTTAACTGATTGTTAACAGACTTTGGTAATAAGGCACTTGTTTTAACAATGTAAGGCAATTTGTAGTTCCACACAATCACATATGAAATATGGCATTATAAAAAATTACAAAATGAACTTATGGACATAATCATAAATGGCTTTGAATATCTAAAGAATAGGACATAACTGAGTTCTTTCATTCATTTTGGTGTATGCCATTCAGAACCATGTGGGAACAAACCTTGTTCATAGATATAGGATCGAAACCGATATAGGATCGAAACCGCAACTATGTCTTTCATTCTTTTAGGAATACGACAATACATTATTCTAGGAATTTAGCATCCTGAAAAATTATATTCTCATCCTATATCGTCCTACACATTCCTTTTCATCCCTTTTTGGAGCATAAAATTAAGATCCTTTATCGGACATATTGCTGTGTTAAAGTTATATAGAAATTATAAAGTGTCACACAGCTGGTCTCTGCAAAAGAGCTGCATTTCACAAATTTCATCGCGTTGAAGTAGAAGAACGCTGATTGGTTCATTCCTCCGTGAAGTGCCACGGTTAGCCAATGAAAAGTATTCCCTTCATGAAATAAACACGCTTCAATTGCACTGACTGTACAATAAATAAATATGTTTGCAACTCGCCGTAAACTGCAGAAACGTGTACGCCACGCGATTTCCTCGTCGATTGCAACCTCTCGCTGGATATCCTATCGCCCATTCTATGACGTCACCCCTTGTTCAATGTTACTTCAAAGTCAAGATGGCGAACGTGATTAGCGTCTTTTCTGCCATTCAAAATGAATGGTATTGTGTATAAGTTTCTCTTCATTGTAATCCTGCGGCTTCCTTCCAGCCTTCAGCGTTCTTGCCAAACTTGTAGACCAGCCGCCTCCCGTCGACTCGCTCCAGGATCTCGCGCTTGTAATAGTACCTGAGGGTTTCAAAATATAACATAAAGAGGGGAAATTAATTACAGATAATGAGTGTTTTTTCGGCATTTTAATATCTGATGTAATTGCCTTTTAAGAGTGTGTCGGATTTTAAAATAAGAAATCACTTATGTATAGGCTATATTTGGCACATGTAAGTACTCTTGGCTATGTGTCTATTTATCTTAAAATGGGCAATTTATATCAATGTTTAATAATTATGGGAAATGGAACAAAAAAAAGAGTATAAAGTGACGTCAAGGATGTTAAATATATGGTTTTAAATTTTGATGATTAGCGCTGAGAAAATATTAACCTTATATTATAGTAGTATTGTACTAATATACGAACTCAAAATTTTACTGATATATGAACAAGGAAAGAGATTATACTCTGAAAGATAGAGAAGGGAAGAGGAAGAGATAGACAAACAGAGATTAAAGATAGAGGGGAGACAGGGAGAGAGAGAGAGAGAGAGAGAGATTGAGAGAGAGAGAGAGAGAGAGAGAAAAGAAAGAGAGAGATAATAAAAAAGAAATTTACCTCATGGCACGGCTAAGCTTCTCATAGGTCATCTGCGGGTTGTTTTTCTTGCGTCCCCACATGTTGGCGACCGCTTCCGAGTTGACGAATCGGAAAACTCCGGCTTCCCGATCCTCCCATCGGATAAACTTCGGGCAGTAGGATTCGGACTTGAGAAGGTCCCGGATGAACTCCCACAAGTGGTTTCCCTTCATGGCTGTAAAAACGAAAAGAAAAGGAAAGAAATTAAATTAAATTTCCCGCACTTGTCATCAAAACTAATCATCATTAAATCGGTATGTACTTTCATAAACGTTATAACAACACAAGGTATTTAAAAGGTTGCATGGGAAGATCCGCCTTTTCCCCCTCCCGGAAAATATACAATTGATTAAACCGCAGACATCACTTTCGTAATTAAAGGTATACGGGAAAAATGCACAATGAATTTGGCCAAGTAATTATAACAAAAATACGCTAGACAAAACAGTGTGTCGACTTTCAAAAATATTGTATACGATTAGGTATTATGCTCGTGGCTGCGACAGTCGAGACTCCTAGTGCTCCACTATTATTACAATTTTTAAATAACAAATTGTGGATTTAGGAATTGTATTTTTTGTTTCATTTCTCATATGAATGTAAACTTGTTTGATAATTTACCTTCTCGCCTACCTCGCCCTCTATTTCTGTTGGGTGATGATCCAGTGCTCCCGCTTGAAGCGGTTGTTGTCGTGACCACGTGCTCTTCGTCGCTGCCACCATCATCACTCGACGTCACAGACTGCTTACGGGGTCGCGCGCGGAACGGCTTTCTGATTGGTCCAGCGCAGCTTCCCTGCTGCGCAGACATCTCCTGCGTCACCACTCCGTCCGCGTGCGTATCCAGCATCTTGAGCGTCGTGTGCTGCACGCGGCACTGGTAGTTGTGCGTTCTGCCGTTGGGTGCCGAGGCGGCTGCGAAGCTGTGGTGTTGTGGGTACGGTGTCTGCGATTGATGGTGTGCATGATGGCGGTACTGGTGGTACTGTTGTATGTTGTGGTGGTGTTCGTGGTAGAGCGGTGGTGGATGCGACATAACGGAGGACGATAGAGTGTGGTAGGTTGATTGTTGGAGCTCATCGATAGGTGGAGAGTAACCGGACACGACACTGTCGATGTCTGAATCTAGCCAAAGATACAAGGAAGCAAAACAGATGAAAATCAAAGTTGTGTTCTCAGCCAACACGAGCAACATGCAACCTCACTAATTATAAAACGTACGAAAATTTTAAAGGACTGTTGAACTTAAAATGCAGTTCTAAAAAATGCAGCATTCAGTTAAAAGTTAAACATAATGAGCATGTTGTACCTTTGAAAATGTAACCGAATATTCTTTCCTTAAAAAAACAACTTATACTTACCAAAGAGCCCCCCCCCCCTCCATTATATCATTGGTGACAGGGAGCGGGTGGGGTCGGATTCATATATGATCGCAAATGACCTTCAACGCCTACCCGTATATTGCTTTGATATCACTCAAAGTGAACTATACCCTCACCTTATACAGATAACCATTCGGTCCAATGCTTTGATTTTTGAAACAAATACATTTCGCTGAGAAAATGGCCTACATGCTAGCCATGAAACGTCCAGACATAATGATTTTATCATAATGTCTAGTGTCATAAAACATTAGTTTCACATAGTGCTGGGGGCCAGTTCCTCGAAATCGTCATTAGTCTTAGCTCGTAAACATCCCATATAGAAACGCGTGTTAATTCTATAACATGTGCTCCAACGGGATGTCCGTGAAGATAGACTTATGACGAGTTCGAGAAAAGATCCCCTATTTGATATTAATGTAAGCGTACGTTTCACATATTAATAGTAATTTTCAGAACACTAGTATAACGGTCATAGCTACTCACTAGCACATACCCTACGATTGTTATCAATTTCGCTAGCATTTCACTGTCCAAACAAGCAAAATTGTCATGACCATTGCAAAATGGTGGAATAAATCTGGTTCAGCGTTTCATGAATTCCATGTCGAGTAGGTTTCAATGAAAAGAGTTATTTCACGTAATTAGCTGTTAGCGTAATTAGATCGAATTCATCATATTCGCACATGTAATATGGCTGAAAGCATTATAGTTTAAAATTGTATAATTATACTACAGCATCCAAAGTTAGAATATTGACACAACAGTTCATCAATGCTCACTGCACAAGAGGCGTCATTGCGTTTGCGTTATTGCGCTAATCAAAGTCTGTGAATGAAATTGAATGAAACCATGCGCTACTAAAAGTTACAACGCAACGTATTCACTTTCCACTCTAGAATCAGTGTCTGTAGAGATACCATTTCAGTAATTGGCGCAAACTTGCGTCTAGCAATTGACGCCTCGTGTGCAGCAGCGGACCTTCAGGTCAATATTTTATAATAATTACGAGGAGACAATTTTTGATAACTTACCTTCTCCTGAAGAGCCCATGCCGAAAGCCCCACGCTGAGACCGCGGGTTGTGTGCCGACTCCATTTGTGCGAACTCGCTAACGAGTGTCAGATCGTCGAGGTTGGGAAGATCGCCGGCGAAGATGTCAATGTCGCAAACGGTGATCGGTGACGGCGACGGGCTTGGGATCGTGCAATCTGCAAAGACGGGAGAAAAACAGAAAAGAGATTCGATTAGCCATTTTCTATCTTGGTCAAACGTAGAACAATAATTTTTTAAAACAAAACGCCATGGATTCTGATTATTGAACAATGCAAAATGCCGAATAATTTTCACGTATTGGCGCCGTATGCTGAACTAGCGGAATTGAACCAGCCAGTCAGCCACGACGCTATCTGAAAATCGTAGTTCAGAGTATTTTGATAATCACCGCTGCCCATACCCATACTGAAATAATTATGATCAAAGGACTTGGGAAATCGGGTAAAGTGCAATGTAAAATTAGAACTCATTCGGATGCTTGGCGATTCTAATAACTCACTTGCCTCTTTTAATTACGATGAATTCAATATAGAGCAAACAAACTGAAGAAGTCCGCGATGCAGAAAATGTAAAAGCTCTTTTCGTCAAGTGTTCTGGTAGACTGCTTGGGATATGTAATTGCATGTGTACTGCAGTGCCGACTTACAGGAAGTAGATGGCATATATAACTTTTATCTTGCTATAAGCCTACGTTGCGCCGTTACATAGGCCTAGGAGAAGTGAAACTGCTCACAACTTTTGAGTGTCGGATAGTTTAATACTAGGTATACGAAGAGATGTCCGTGTCCTATTACAAGATATAATGTTAACCCTTTCTTTTGTCTTGACCTGAACAATATGGAGAGAGAAAGCTGGCATGCGTTTGTAATTTCATCCGGCAAGTATCGATTAGCCTAATTCAAGGAAAACAACGCTTTTATTAATTTCATTCAAGTAATATTATCACATGTACCTGCAACGTTACGCTTAAATAATAAAATAAAGCACAAATATTTGGTATACTCAAATTGAATTTTCATTTTAAAGGCAAATAGAGGCTGTGCTATGCATTGTGGTTGCATCCCGCACGGAAAAGATATTTTTTAATATTTTTAAAAGCTTAGAGGCGAGACTAGTGAAGTTCAATAAGCAGTCAACATAGCGCCGATACAACTCTCGAATCTAACCCGCAACTTTCTAAAGATTTTGTTTGTCCATGTTTACGTGATATCTTGATTCTCTCCTCATCCCATATCTTTTATAATAATTATAATTATATTTGCTTATATAGCGCCTAACACTTACTTTATCAGAAGTCTCTAAGCGCTCTACAATAATGCAGCATAATTATATGCTGATGGTGAAGGAAATCATTAAATAGAAATTGGCATAAATCTTCCTTTAAAATGGTGCGAATTTAATTTAGCTTACTAGATTGACATGCTTATAATTATCATAAACATGTCATTTAGATATGCTTGAATGAATGTATTATATCAATACATTCATCAACTAGTGATATCAAATGGAAAGGAAACTGAAGAGATTTTATTTTTTGTAATTCTGAATCAAATAATCAAATATATCAAAAGTGAACGCGCTCGCAAAAAATTTAATTTAATGCAGTGTAATTCCAAACTACCAATGCCCTATCCAATAAAAATCATGTTCGAAATATACAATGTTCGTGCATTTCAAACGGCGATGAATTTAACTTGCCCTCGTTTGATTTTTCTAAATTTTCTGCCATCGTAATAAAAACTGGTTTAGCTTATCAAGTATTTATTCATGGTCGTACCGTTAAGCAAAACTTTTGAAAAGTCCGCATAATTATTTATAATAAGGGAAAAAAAGCCTCAACGCATCCACACAAATATCCACCCAGCACTGCAGAAAAACAAGCAACCGATCGGGGCTCGTTTCACGAAACCGTCACGAGTACAAGCTCACCGATATCCAATTGAAACACGTGTTGGATTTAATACACGAGTTTCAATGGGTTGATCGCGAACGTGTACTTATGATCTATTCGTGAAACCCTGCCCAGGCTGTTATGGTGACAAATGATGAGGGATTGTCTTACCGTCTAGACTTTCACTGAACGAGGATGTGAACATGGATGTAGAGAGGTTGATAGGAGAGTTGGGTGAGAACTGGGTGAGGTTATCCAAGAAATCTGTCCAAGGGAGAGAAAAAGAAAGAAAGGGCATTTTAGAGATGATGACGCGCTCTACTCATGGGTTTTTGGATGAAATACGTGTGGGATAGGATAAGAAATATACGAGTAGCTTCAAGTATTGATGAATAAAATGTATTCTATTGTTTGGTTTCTTTATGCAGTTCATCACAGGCATATAATCGGCTATCTAGAAGAATACAAACAGCGACTTGAATAATTCGACTGCTCAGGTCCCCCCCCCCCCCCCTCTCCCCTTTCAATTTAGAAGGGGGAAAAGGCACAAACATTTCGGTATCTCTGTGCATTTTTACGAAAATTAAAACTGCTTCTTGGTGAAAAGGGAGAAATCTATTTGCACGAAACATCGTCAGTCACACAAGAGGATCATTTTCGTATACATGTACGTCAGTGTTATAACTGGTGTCTATGAAATTAAAGGTTGCTTCTATCAAATTAAAAATATTTTGCAATACATACCTGATTTGTGGAGTCCATCATTGCCGCCAAGACCGACGTTCGAATGGTACTGATTATCACAGAGCTGGTGGCTGAAGTGGTCCGTCATGTTACCGTGAACTGGGTGGTGGAAGAAAAGGGGGGCACGTTATTACCCTTGTGCACTCTCTAAGACTTTCTAATGCTGGTGGAACGTTTAAGTGAATCCTACGTTTTTACTTATAATGGTGGATTGGTTAGGTGACTTAGTTATTATTTCATAATGCGATGAGCATGAACGATCATCATGCTTGAATCTTTGAGAATACGGCGACGGCGTTGATGATTTTAAAATGGATGCTGTAGCTATTGAAACGGAACAATAATACCGATTTGGTCCAAATCAAACCACGCTAAACAAATTCCGTTAAATTATACTAATGCCAAAGAACTTAATGGGTTTACATTAGATTTCAAATTGAGATGTGTTATCATAATCATTAAAAAAACTGAAAAGAAAAAGGGAACATCTGCAAGAGCTCCTTTTGAAGGGTAAGCGCTCACGTATATATTTAACCTTGCCATCGACCAAAACATGAAAATGGCTTCATTTTATCAATGAATACCTCCTTGGCATAACGTGAGGGTTAATGTCTTTAGCATGAAGGGCGTCGCGTTAGAGAGGCTTGCGGATACGAAACTGGAATGCTTGCAAACACGGTGAAGTGGCTTTCACCTAACGCATCAACACCCAAACCGACTTATGTATAAACCACATTAATCACCATGATCATGTTAATTGCATACTGAAGTTTTTGAATGATGAGGAGTTTTCAAAGTACGATTTGAAGTGGAATTTTTAAGAGGCTCTTTTCAGATTGTGTTTTAGTTTGTACAGTCACGACAGTGATGCCATTTTGGATTTTTTTTTTTTTTAATATTTAAGGAGATACTAAAAATCCTTGCACAAACTCAACTTTTGAAATACTCTTAAATACGTGTCTATAAACCTTAAAGATAATCAGAATAATGTGAAAACCCACAAGTTCTTCAAAATTGCAGGTGTCTTCATGAAATATATTAATATCTGAAGACCAGCCAAGCCGCACTTACTTTCGATATAAACCCGACAGCGCGCGTCTTTAGACTTTCATTTGAAACACAAATTTGAAAAACGCTTCATATCGTCTGCCATGGTTATTGCGGGGAGCGATATCGAAAGTGAAATATTAGGCTCTTGAAAAACTATAATTTCATGCGCTTTGGTTGATTAATGACCAGTTAAAGCGGTCTGGTACCAGGGTGTTGTGGTAATTAGGGTTCTTCAAGGACCTAGTAATTGATAAAACGAGAGTCCAAGAGAAATACACGAACTTGGAGACGATATGCAAAAGAAATTTGAAGTTGAAGATTTCAAGAAAGAAGAAGAAGAAGAAGCAGAAAAATAAGGAACAAGTTCGGGAGAATATCAAAGTGATACTAGGCCCTATATGATAAGGAAAATGTACGGATATGAAAGTTCCAGAATAACAATATCTATGAATGACAAAATAAAACTGAGAAAATTTGTAGTTCAAAAAAATAAGGGTAAGAAAATCGTGAATAAGGACGGCATCATTTAAAAAAGATGGAAGTATTGAAGAGAAATGAAAGAAAATTGCACTTACGAAGGTCTTCCATGAGCATTGTAAGGTCCATTTCAGCGGGCTGCGTTGCCGGGGAACTGCTGCTAGAAACTGAGCAATCCTCGTTTAGTAAGTACCGTGCGTGCGCAAACCCATTCACTGGCTGCGAGCCTTGTTGCTTGGCCGATTGTGTGTTGGGCGGTGTAAGCTCGGCGAGAACCGGGGAGTCAGGCGGGGTAGGGAAGGTCTGAAATTTTCGTTCGCAATCGCTTCCGCTGTACGACCCAACTCGGAAGGCTTTGGGCGTGGGGAACTCTCCCGTCATGCCGGAGACGTGGTCATGGTACATGTCCGAGAAAAGCTGTCGAGAAAATGGTGATAACAATGTTTTTTAAATCAATGTCTTTAAAATAAAAAAGGCTAGCTCATTCAATCCCCTTTTGGGAGAAGTGTCGGGGAGAAAATCAGCGGCACCCGCCGTGGAGATAATCCTAAAAAACAGTACTTTCAAAATGTATGACTTCAAAATACAAGATCCGAAATAAACTCTACTACACCATTCATATTGATCATATTAATGATATCGTTTTGAGAAGAACAGTTGATTAATTCACAATTCGATAACGAAACAAAAATACATTGCTAATAAACCTCGGTACGTCAATTAACTTAAAGTGAATGTTTATGTTTCTTCGTCATATTATTTTTCATTTTACACTTCAAGTAACAGCATAGCGTGAGGAGATATAATGGAGATGTTTTTACTTTGATTTCTATAAATAGACTACATGATGAAATCTAAGCCGAAACAATAGATCGCCAATGAGTCCATAATGAGTCAGCGCGTTAATTGAAATTCTAATTATGTACATGCTAATGGCACTCAATAGAGTCCAATCAACATAGTTCAATAATTAGTTTAATTTGCTTACATTACAGCTCATAAAAGTCCACTGACGCAGTTCTCTATCATGCGTAGAAGGGAAAAGCCATTCTCGTTCATTTTAAAACGATGTGTTCTCATACAACCGCGGTGCCCTGTATTAATATAACTAAACGCAAGTGTTTCTCATACAAAGGGTAACATGTCATGAACCATACTTCAAACTTTGTTGACTATAACAAAGCACTTGCAGTAAATAATGTGGCAGAAAATGACAAAGAAAAGCCTGCAAGCGGCATGAATCGTATCTAGTGCTCCGAGACGGTTTTTGTTAAATTTGTCCGCCTAAATTGATTTATGTGGGTACTTGAATCACACCGTTGCGTTGATGACTGTTGAGTCATCGCCCCGTTATTAAAAGGTCACTTTGAAAGGTTCTTCTCAACAAGTGTTTTGGAAATTTATGGCTGAAACTTGAAACGAAGACCACGTCACAGATTTGTTCATTGATTTTTAGTTTTACTTCCACACGTAAATTATATCAAAGGGTTCTAAGAAAATATCTAAAATAGTGCCTACAACTTACTGATTCCCTTTCCTTTATGTATTTTATATAATTATGGAGGTAAATTGATCCCGTTAACCCCCCCCCCCCCCCCACTATACAACAGTGGTAGACAATTAAGGAGCCTATAGTTGTCGCTATGTCGGGTAAGTATCGAGACATTGTGGGACATAGATAAAGTTTTTAAAGGTTAGTATGGACATGGTTCAGTTATAACAGATTTGAATTCTCAGTGCGGACATGGTTCAGATATGACGGGTTTGAATTCTTTATATACCTGACCGCAAACTTCCCTATCGTACTACAAGTTTGCCGTGACAATAGGAAGTCCTTCCAAGAATCAAAAATAAGCAAAGGAAATTACAGGTGTATCGGTTATCGAGACTGGAATGGCTTACTTCCAGTGACATCAAATTACACCCCACCCTTGTATATTACCTTGAAAAAAGGGAAAATCCCATAATATACCAACACGAGGGCGAAATAGGTCATTTTGTAATAATACTTCCATTATAGAGCTTTCAGTAAAAAAAAAAAAAAAAAAAAACTTTAGGTGAAACATGACAAGCTCTAACAAGTGGTATTTTTAGCACATTATCTAAATTGTCGGGATTTGAATGGCGCCTAATAATGTGTACGAAATATCGTCGCGATGGGTTCATTCGCTCATACAATGTGTGTACCATCTCCAGTCCTTTTATCAGTTGTCGTTGCTTAAGTAATATTGATTTTTTTTTTAAGGGTGGATTTATGGAATATCAAAGGGGTTTAACAAGAAAAAGCCACATCAGAAATTTGTTTGGATGTTAACAAGCAAATAAGTGATGAACGAGAGTCGTATGAGGTGCTATTTATTGACATCGTAAGATTAATGCTGCCGGCAGTTCGGGATCGAATTACGGGGTCACATTTAAAGCTGTATATAACAAAAAATACAGCACGAATTTTCCTATGATATGGATACATACAGGACACAAACTTCTGCAGTAGTTGTGATTGATTTTGTGTGTAGAAATTGAAGTTAATGCCCCCCCCCCCCACATCAGGGGAATAAAATCACAATTTTTAAACAAAATATGTTTAGGTTTTTTTGACGAGAGAAATATAAACTCGTAAAGCGTCTGAAAATTGGTTGAGTCATATAACTGACGGTATAAAATAATTGCGTAATAATACTAATGTTGTCATAGACATCAAACACTGACGTAATACCGTTGCCTAATTTTATGATCTACATTGATTCTTATGTTAATATTACGATACACAAATTATGGTTCGACATTTTGGATAGTATGAAGTTTGAAGGAGTTTCAGAAGATAAAATCCTCGAAAAAAATGTTCCGTGATACGACAAATCAACTCATACAAACATTTTCCCGCAGACCCTGCAACAATTAACACCGTTTTAATTTGTAGACCCTGATTTAAATCACTTAATATAAATGCCTAATTTGTATCACAATCGTTTAATTTTTAAAAAAGTATTCAGTATCAACAAAAAATCCTCATTTTAGATTTATTAAATCCGTCCGAGAAACAAATACATTTTTGAACGCCAAAGACCGACTCATTTTATTCAATACCGCCATCTACTGTCAGGGATGAGACAAACCCATGCCACGCTCTCTGAACGTATATCAGCTCAAACGTGTTTTTGTGTACATGTCAAACGTAAACTAATTGCTGTCATATACAATAGCTTTTGAATTATCCCGGTTTTCTAATGCTTTACTTGTACCAGTATATTGTTTAGGTGTCAGTTAACGCCAGATCAATGGGGGTAAAGTCTATTTTTTTTTAAAAGAGCCGGTAGAATGAAAGACAAAACTGACGGTCCGTGAAACGAATGCACATCAACTGTCAGAGACTCTGAATAGGTGCAACGATGTACCTCTTTTCTGCACTCCAAATCCGGGTCTTTCAAAATTCAAACCGAAAATTCACAGAAAAGAGAAGAGGCGCTTTAACCATGGACAGTTAATTGCGGTCTGATTTCTCTTTGAATTGTCAGTTCCAGCTAATACCAGGGAAACGGGAAAAGAGGCTTTTAAAAAACAACATAACTTAGAGAAATAGAACACCAAAGAATCGAAATTGCAAGTATACTCCCAATTAGTGTGTTTAAGGATACGAGACTAGTGTATGCAATATTGTCACTCTAAGTATTTGCGTTTCTATTTTACTTTCGTTGTAAACATCGTAAATATGACTTTCATAATATCTTCATTTGCTTCCCAGGTATTTACATCGTTGATTGAATACATATCATAGAAGCCGTCATTTTCATATAGACCAGCAAAGGTGTTTGAAATCAAATTACTACTTTCTTAGTGCATTCAACTCACGTAAGCAAGATAAGAAAAAAAATACGAACACCTGATTTATGATACAACTTTGAAATGAAGTAGATACACTTTTATTACGAACCTATATGAAAAAATAGAGACATCGTGCTTCTGACATTTATTTATGAATTGCTGATGATAATAAATGTATTCTGGCCCATTATTCAATGTGTATATTATGTCACCTACGCCCCATCTCCCCCCCCCCCCCCCCCCTCCCTATACTATCAGAGTTATATACCCCTCCCCGCCTCCTCTCTCCTTCTAATTAAACAGGGTCTCTCGTTTTGTGACCAGCTTCCCTTCCTAATCCATGTTACCCCCTTCTCTCTCTCTCTCTCTCTCTCTATCTCTTTCTATTTCTCCCTCTCTTCTCCATCTCCCTCTTCTCTTTCATTCTTGATCCTGTCTTCACCGCCTTTCATTCTATCTCCTCATCTCCCTTACCACACTTCTCCGAATTCTGTAGGATCTATCAAACTCTTCATCTTTTAACCACCCCTTCTTGCAATTCCATATCATACTTCATTCTAGATCTTGCCCCTATTTAGCTTATAATATTCTGCGTTTTGATAATTTGCATGTAAAACCTGTACGTAACTTTATCGGAGGACGAAATTCAATCAAGTTAAGACTTGCGATTGAAATGACTCGACAATATGGAGATAGGGACAAGGGGAGGGGGCGGGGTAAAGAGAGAGAGAGAGAGAGAGAGAGAGAGAGAGAGAGAAGACCGGGTAGGATAGAGATACATTTTGAGAGCACAGAGATAGAAAGAGATATAGAGAGTCGGGGAGGGTGTAAACAAATAATTTTAAAAACTTACCATTGAATCCTCCTGGCAATAATCCGCAAGTTGAGCCATCATCATTTGATGGATCCGATACCAAAATTGTTTCTCAAAATGTTCTAATGCTGAACTCACAATCCAAAAGAGCGTTTCCAAAATGTAAAGAACTTGAAGCGAAGGAGATGATTGGCGAAGGTTTTTCAAGGAGGCAACTGTTGATCAAAAAACAGGTGGTATCCAATTGGAAAGTGTGTGCGGGTGAAAGTGAAAGCTATGGAGTGGTAGAAGTAGTCCAAGTCCTGTCTGCGGGAACCCCTGGATCAGTTCCAGGTCCTCTGAATCATATGTTTTCCAAACCTGTTGGAACAGACAACAAGATATAGAATGACAGTATCTAAATAAAATTCAAAGTTTATATGCTCGGCAGAGAGGCAAAAGAGAGAGAGGCAACTTGTTTGAACCCCTGGGCGATGTTAGGTCAAAATCACACCGTCGATGACAATAACACCCCAATGCACTGATTTACAGTAACCTTATCATTTACACACACGCCTTCAACTCACACACACGTGTCAAATACACGTCATATAGTTAGCGTAGGGATCAGCTGGCTCGCACTGTTGGCTTGCGCGCCGCTGATTGGCTGAGCCACAAGTTGGGACCGTGCCAGAATGACCAATCAGCTTGCTCCCCAACAAAAAGCGGCGCATGCGTACATGCATGATCGACCAGTGAGCAGGTTGCAGTGTAATGTGTACGTTCGATTGTAGGCTATTCTTTTTACTTCTCTCTCTCCCGAATTGAGTGAATTTTGTTACCCTCCTTTCATTTTTTCTTTTCTTTTTTCGCCGTAATCCGAAATCTATAATCGTCATTCTTTTTCCGTGTACATGTACTTACAACTTATCAGCGTCTTAGCACGTGCCGAGGCTTATGGTATTTTGTATGCTTTTTTGTTGTTGTTGTATTTGTTATCACTTCACTTCGCAAAATGTGCGATAACTATCTAAATGATTTTACAATAAATTGCAAACAGGCTTTATTAATTTCGTTTATTTATTTTTTCATGAAAGCAAATGATAGTGGATGAAAGATTTTTTTTAAGTAGAGTATATTTTGTTGCTCATTGCGCTTATTGCACGGAGGAAACGAGTGCTTGATTAAAACAAATACTGGGGTCGGTTTCTACAGTTTCAAATGAGCTTAATCATTTCACGAAACAATAGAATACTTCATGTTTAATTGTTTCAGTGATGGGAATACCATTTCAAATGAGGAGAAACATATGTTTGTTTTTGTAGCCAGAATGACAGTGTACCACTGACTTAAAGATAAGCAAAACATGTCAGATTTGTTTCATTATCATGGCAAATTCAGAAAAAGGGAACGGTATGGGTGGAGGGCTTGCATTCTAGATTTAATAATAATTAAAGTTACGTCAAAACAATCCAGGCAACTTCAACTCTGTTGCGTTAATAAGTCGGTATTATCATAGACTGGTGGTAGGTCTATGGTATTATCCATGTCCCCCGGGCTGGGTTTCGAACCCACAACCCAATTAGCGCACAATCAACTCCACGTGGAATAGGCTTTATGTGTGTGTGTGGGGGGGGGGGAGGAGGGGTTGGGTGGCTTTCTGACATTCTGTTGCCCATAAAGTTAGAATAATTCGTTCTAACCCCTTTACATGAAGTGATTGTGACAACATTATTCTTGCTAAATTAAGCTTATATCTTCTCAGAACTCGATCGTTTAATGAAAGGTTTTATACTTTATTTATCAAGAATAAACCAAATTTTCACAATCACTTTGATGAAAAGATGTAATAAAAAAATATTCCAACTTTATGGGCATCAGTGTATTTTCAATATTTTCAAATCTAGGTTCAGAAGAAATAAAATAGTAATGTAGCTAATATACTATAAAAATCGAGATAAAATACATTTTTTGTTGATTTATCTCTGTAATGAAATGCTATCATGATAAACAAATGTTCATACGTATGTTCTTATACTTGTTGCGGTTTGGGATTAACATGGGTACTCAACGCCCCCCCCCCCCCCAGCGACTCTAAACTAATCTCTGTCCAACATCTTCATCTATACAAACCACCTGATCCCGATCTGCACTAATCCTCAGTCCTTTTTTACGGATTACCCTAATCTCAACATCCGAAGAAAACAGGTTGATGCTTGAAATCCGATTTGCTGTATTCTGACCACTGGCAAAATGCGTAGTTATTATACTCTGGGCCTTAACGATGATAGTCTTGTTCTACAAACTTTTTGTTTTTAATTTGATGAGTTTTGTCTTTTATACCGGATCCTTTCATCTGTTTATATGATATTTATTTCTTGATCAAATCTGTATGAACAGTGCTTCATACGATCTCTATTAAGACCACATCGCAAAGACTTTCGAAAAATCAACCTTTGGTAGTGTCTAAATTCTATAGCCTTGTCCGGCAAGTTTTGACATGTTTGAATATTACCATGGCGTATTACGTAATGTGAACATGATTTCTATGGCGTATACAAAGGGTACTGAAATTTCAATTGAGTTGATTTCTCGAAAGTCTTTGTGATCGTGATAATGAACCATTTGATATAAATCATTGATTGTGATGGCGTATCCAAGATAGGACGGAGACTGGATACATCGTAACCCCCCCCCCCCCCAATCTAACCACTTTTGAAGGCACAGAAAAACTCGACATACAAAAAGTTGAGTCTACGGTACAAATACCAATTATTCCAAAATAACATAAAAACACAAGTAATAAGATAAACACATATCAAATAAACAGATAGATCGTCAGTTTAGTGCCACAAGGGCGTTAACTCGGTGTCGAAATAATATGATGAGCACCCTTCTGGCTCCAAACAGACGAAATGAAAATAAAAAACGAATAAGAGTCTGAATATGTAGACTAAATCAGGGTGTTTTCCACGATATACAGGTATGACCATTACAAGTGACGTGCTCGCGTTGGAATGTTTTCAATTGTTGAAATGTACATGTCTGCTGTCAGAATTAAAAGTACACTGACATTGCGGTTATTTACACCGTAAACTGCTGGTACAGGATGGCGAAAAGCTGGAGGAGTGAAAAACCATTTCAGGCATTGTGTACATCTTAAAAATGAGTTGTAACCATGGTAACTTTGATTTATTTGTTCTCAGTGGGACGATGGTTAACACGCAAGAGGGAATTTAAAAACATGCCATGTTCTATGATTAATCCAGTGGATGAGTTAGCAATAGGCAGTGGTTATGTTGGAAAAATGTATACAAAAAAAAAGAGTTGGATTTGCTAATTAAAAACACACATTTCACGCTTACAATTAGTATATGGGTCACCGCAAAAGGCTACTAAATTTTCGTCATGTCAGATTTTACCCCCAAAGTCCTCTAGGCCTATAGGCTTACATCTATTTCATAGCCCCCCCCCCCCCCCCCGCGCTCGACACGCACACACACAAACAATCCCCAGCTTTACGAAGTTATGATTAGTGTGTTGATGTAATATGTTAAAAACACAGTGACTTGTTTCACTATCAGTAAACTTAAGCATAAATTATTTTTAAAAACCTAATCTGACTGAGATGCGTGCTCGACAGAGCAACAACATTTATTTTTTTAAATCTATTTCTTATATTTAGACAGAGTGGCTCATTAATTATCACCAATAACGGTGGTCTTCCGTGAGAACCTGTTAAACATAATGAGGTACATTATAGTTTAACAAATAATTAAAGTTTTACAAATATATACATAATAATATTAATAACAAAATATTGAACATAAATTCATAACAATAAACAATAAATGAAAACATATATAATATACATATATCAGGCCTTTAAAAAAAAGAATGTTGTATTGCCCTTTAGGAGTCGGCACCTGGGTCAGTCGGTCGATTATTTCTTTTTCCCCCTGTATGGGCTGATATTCTTCAGGCTGGTACTAAAGACAAAGTGTTTTTCTCAATTAAAATACTTTCAGTCTTTATTGTTTTGTTTGTTTGTTTGAAACCCGAATGTGTAATTCCTATGTAGTTTTGATGTGAAATCAAGACTGATACCTATAAAACGAAATTTAAGAATAAAAACGGATCATCGAAAATTTAGAATCAAACACCAATGACATTAAGACTTCCACTATATCTAATGACTTAATAGGATGATATTTCATTCGCACTCAGGTTAATGAAAGGTTAGTGTAGAAGGTAAGCTTCCGATTTGAAACTAGACGATGAAGAAATAATATTTATAGAAAACATAACATCGGGATTTCTACGAAAGGTTATAGTTCTGTGATATAGATTTTTAAGATTTGCTTCGCTGCATTGCAATTCACAGAGTGTAGGGAAATATTGGTAAATTATTTTTAGTTTTTCTTTAATTTTTCTCTATGCTCATTGATTTTCATATATTCTCGCGTTCAGAAATTCCGGAAATGTATGTGAGAGTAAGTTCATGAGGAATGGAATGTGATACCATTGGTATTTACTGACTCGAGAGTTTTCTGTTTCAGTTTAGTTTGTGATTTATATATTTCAAATGTAAATTTGTTCGAGTGAGGTTTCTTTGTTTGATCTTTTGTTTGTTTGGGTTTTTGTTTTATTATTTTTTGTTTTTATTTTGCCTTTTGGGGGAATTTGTATTTGCACGTCTTTTTCATTCACCAAAGGCAAGATAATCCATATGAAATACATTGCGAACAGCAGATCAGGGAAGGGCGAGGTTGGAGGGGGTAGGGGCAAAATAATACTCCCCCCCCCGTCTCTCCCTTGTGGAGAACAAACTGAGTGGGTCGGGGAGGCTGATGACGAATCAAATCATATCATCATAATCGTATTCATGTAAAATTATGCTGCTGTCTATAGCATTGCCCCTCCTTTCTAAAACAATGAATCTTCCCCCTCCCCATGATGTCCTGATTATACCCATACACATTATAATAAGAAGGGATGCTCCTTACGAGGTGGAGATGGTGCACATTATTACGATATCACTAAAATCTATATACATGGTAATGTAACAGCTGTAATAAATTAATGGGGAATCTTAGCCTCCCGGTATAAAGTATTTGTTTAAATCTATATAAATATGATATATACGCATATATATTTTCGGAACTTGTTATTTTTCAACATGACCTGTCTATACACAGTGATCACTGAAGTCTTGACTGACGGGGAAAAGTCAAAAGGAAATTATAATTGCATGTTTTGGCGGTGTATAAAGTTAACAGTCAATCACGTAGTTTCGACTACCAGGAAAGTCCTGTGAAAACGGGATTATTTTTTTACAGACTGAATGTGTAATGTACATTGCAGCGAGGGTATTTACGGATTGCCTTTCTTTTATTATATTTTTTCAATATTGTAATCCATTTGTGTCAGCAATCAGTTGTATCTATTGAAAAATACCGACTCAAGGGAATGCAAAATCAGTTGTATTGATTGAAGATAACGAACCGAAGAGAAGAAGGATTGCGTGCTTTTTATCAATTTTTTTTTCAATTTTGTAATCCATTTGTGTCAGCAATCAGTTGTATTTGTAGAAAAATAC